CTTGAGAGTCATTCCCTCTCTCTCTGCTGCTCCCCTGTTTGTGCTCCCTCAGTCTCTCTCAAAATAAATAAATAAACTTGAAAATACAGATTTGAAGTTGTCCATAACTTTCTTAAATGTATATAATGAGGCCATTATAATGGAAATCAAAATCCACATTGAAGGAATGGCGAATGAATGGATACAATATCTAAGATAATGTACTTATTGAAGTCAAGCATCAGAATTAACCCTGAGCTTCCTGGCAACCAAAACAAAGAAAAGTGGGGGTGGGGGGCTGGGAGGGGGCGGGTGGTGAGAGGGAAGCAGCACAGAACTGGTGAACCCTGGAGCAAAGTGTAGCTTGTTGCTCATGGACTTGGGGAACTCTAAACCCTCATCAGACCCACTCAGGAGATTCTTGGTTTGCACCAAGCTCTGTCCTGGGCCCCTTACTCAAGATAATCCCCTCACCCTTGCTTCTCCGTAGCCACAATCCTTGTGCAGCACACCCGCGTCCCTCTCCTGGCTCTGTGCCTTTGGTGAGTGTTCCCAGGGTGCCTTCCAGGTCTTAAGTCTCTTAATTCCAGAGAAAGTACTGTTTTATTTGTTTGTTTGTTCTCGTTCTCTTTCTCTTTATGTAGTTCCACTTGAAAACCTTTCTATTCCAAAGATTAACAGAAATCCCCACCTGTCAATTTAATGTTTCTGCTCCCTGCCTAAGAGGCATGAAATCACAGCCTGCCACCAATATTAAAGGTCATTTTCCATGAACTTATAGATGGTGAGGTCCAGATAACTTGTGACTTAAAACATATGGTCCCCTGTTAGATTAGTCTCTGGACCATCAGAGGTCGGTCTGGGTAATAAGGAGGATGGGCCTGGTCATTAGGCGGGAGACAGTGATGTCTGGTAAGCTAACCTGATGCAGTGGCCCTTGACTTCTGGAGCCCCTGGCAAGCCTTTCCTGGGAGAGAAGATGCTCTCTAAATGAGCATCTTCTCAGGAAAAGGCAGCTGCTTCCGAAATGCACATAGCTCCTGTAAGCCCATCTTGCTTAAAACTGTATTTACTTTCATGTTCTCCTGTCTTAATTACCTTTTTTCTTTACTGGCGTCCTTATTCATTATTTAAAACAACTTTCAAAAATAATTATGCAATAATTCCTTCCTCCATGCACCGTAGCTCTTTACTTTCCTGTATCAGGTTTTCGGCCCTTTATTCATTTGTATCTGTAGTGACAACATTGCTGTCATCAGAGTCTAGATATTGTGGGCAAAGTGTGTGATGACAGTATTCAGCAGTTCCTAAGCAAGGGCTAGAATTCCCTTTGGGGAATCGTTCACAGTGGCCAGGACTTGTTTAGAAAGCCCACATTATACGGTTTGCTCAACACATAAACAATCTTGTATTTTACTTTTTAACTTAGCATAATTTCATGCATGCTTTTCCATGTAGCTACATAATCTTCAGATTTATCATTTTAATGGCTGCTTAATATTCCATCCAGTTAGCGTGCCATAATTTACTTAACTGTTCCCAATTGTTGCAGCCTTAATGAAAATTTGAATTCACCATGTACTAGAGGGGGAAGCTGGTTTTAATGATTACCATTATAACATCCCCTGCCCTAACTGCATGCCATTAGTAACCCAGCTTTAGGAAGGCGCAGATGCTTTTGGAACAATAAATTCTGTAGGAGAGGTGTATGCACAAGTCCCTCTGATTTAATAGCTAATCTGTTCACTGCACATGTTTTCCTTTTATGCTGGTGTTTATGTAGAATATCTACCTCTTCTGCATATTGTGTAACACTAAACTACATGCATTTGGCATATTGCTCCCGATACTTTATCACTGCTGTCAGGAACTTCCATAAATTAACAAGAATTTGGGAGTAAGGAGTGGTTTCTGGCTGTCGATTGTCGTTCATTTATCCCACCCACACTCTTTGAAGATCTGCTTGCAGCCAGGCTCTGTCAGGGAGAGAGCAAAGGCACTTCCGATTATTGGAAGCCCACAAATGGGCCTCTGTGAATTGCTTTGTGGTGCCCAAGAGTAAATGGTGATTCTCATGTGAAGTGCTTTGTAAACCGTACAGTGCATTAAATGGTTGCTGGTCTTGCTGATAAAGTAGGGTGAAGAGGAAGGTGGTTTTCCTGGGTCAGTGTCCATCAGCTGTATCCCCAGTATCCTCAGACCTCGGAAATTTCCAAGGACAGGAGGCTAGACTGCACTTCTCAGAACCAGCGAGAGTGATGATGATGACCCCACAGAACAGATTAGATAGTCTGGTAGGTTCAGTGAGTTTCAGAGTTGTCTATAGTGCCTTACAGTTGGTGTTCACTTTAAAGTGACCAAGTCCTACCTTTCTTTCCTTTTTTTTTTTTTTAAGTTTATTTATTTTGAGAGAGAGCATGAGCAAGGGAGGGGCAGAGAGAAAGGGAGAGAGAGAATCCCAAGCAGGCTCCATGCTGTCAGCACAGAGCCCAACCCAGGGCTCGCTCAAGCTCATGAACTGTGAGATCATGACCTGAGCTGAAAGAGTTGGATGCTTAACCAGCTAAGCCACCCAGGTGCCCCTGAGTCCTACCTTTTGTAGCTCTTCTCTTTTCCTCTTCCTCCCCCATAAAAAGAAAAACATCATCCCTAAAACTAATAAAACGATCCCAGTTTACTCATGGGACCCAGTAAAGCCATATTTTGCCAAAGTACAGGACATCTTTTCAGAGAGGACAGGATTTTCAGGGCCCTGAGAAGGTGAGAAGGTTTTTCCATTTTCTTCCTCTCTCCTTGTAAAAAGAGAAAGTGTTTTCCAAAGAAAGTATCTCTGCGCACTGCCTACACCCCCACCGGCTCTCCAGCTCAGGTCCCTTTCCAGCAGAGAGAAAGCAAGCCTTGGGCCAGTACCTACCTACTTGGTTTTGTTCTCATTCATTCTTTTTTTGTGTATCAACTGTTTCTAGTAAAGGATAATGACTTAAGGATAGTGATGTAAAATTTTTGTAATGAATTTACTAACTCTAAAAAGTGAGGCAGCATAAATAAAAATGGAAAGTAAGAACCCAGGCGGTACCTGCAAACAACAGAATCAACAGCAGTTGGTGTGTGTGTGACTTAATGAAGTCTGGGAGACACTACTGTAATGTTATTTAACGTCAACGCTGACGGCACTGGCGCGGCATCAGCTGGCTTCTGTCGTATCAGGGCATGTGCACACGGAGTTTTGCCATCCCCACGAGCTGGCCCTGGACCATGAAGCCCAGCCTAAAAACAAGCTTTTGCTTAGAAAGGCTGACATCACCATGTGTTTTGTCCACTGCTCTTCAAGGCACATAAGTCCCGTGGGTTTCTACTGTGTCTTTATGCCATCGGAACTCCGATTTGGAGAATGCCTCCAGAGTCCTTTTCAACAGCTCACTCTCAACGATCCTCACCCCTTTTATATCAAGCCTTACCTCTCCCCTCTCATCTCCTTGGACCCAGTGCTCCAGCAAAAGTGGACAGTGAATAGACCAATTCAGCCTTAAATGGAAAGGAAATTCTAACACACACACTACCACGTGGAAGAACCTTATAAACATTATGCTAAGTGAAATAAGCCCGTCACAGATGGGGAAAAGTACCATATGACTCCTCTTGTAGTGAAGTATGTAGGGTAGGAGAGTGGTGTCTCCCAGGGGACAGGGAAGGGGAAGTGGGGAGTTCGTGTTTAACTGGGACAGAGTTTCAGTTTGGGAAGATGAAAAGTCCTGGAGATAGATGGCGGTGATGGTCGCACAATGGTGTGGATGTACTTAATGCCACTGAACTGTACCATAAAAATGGTTAAAATGGCAAAGTTATGTTATGTGTGTCTTTTGCCACGTGAAACAGAAAGGCAGTGAGCGGTCTTCTCCAGCCACACTGCCTTGCCTCAACGTGGTCCGACCGCAGGGAACGCTGACCCTCCTGTTTTCACTTCCCTTGTCATTCTCCCCCCCTGCCTCGCCCCTCACAGGCCCTGCACTGAGCCCTTTGCTACAGAGAATTATGGTGATTTAGATGCGTGTGTCTACCTCTTCTGGAAGCAATGGGCTTCCTGGGAACAGCCTCTCGAGCAAACCCTCCCTTCCCTGTGTCCCATGCAGGCCCTTCACACAGGGGGGTCTAGGATCAAAGCAGGTGAAGTGTCACTGTTTGGCTCAGAAGCACCTGATTCTGGCATCCTAGCATCCATCTTCGAGCCACCACCGGCCTCTCAGAAATGAGCAGCTGACATGGATGCCCCTGTCTGGGGCCTGATCTAAACAGGCAGTCACCCCTCAGCCCACAGAGGGCCAGGCCTTGGCCTCCCTTCCAGAAGATTCGGAGCACCCCCGCCGCCCCACTTATTCAGAAGTAAAGCTGGGGGCGCCTGGGTGGCTCAGTCAATTAAGCGTCCAGCTCTTGATTTCAGCTCAGATCATGATCTTGTGGTCCCTGAGTTCGAACCCCACGTGAGGGCTTGTGATTCTCTCCCTCTCCCTCTCTCTCTGCCTTTGCCTCACTCGCACACACTCGCCTGCTCTTTCTCTCTCTCTCTCAAAAATAAAGGAGTGAAGCTAGATGTCTGCTCTCAAGTCCCTCGGATGTTCTAGTGTGTTAGACTAGTCCTAGTGGGGAGGCCTTCTACTCATCTGTAAAGTGAGGGGGTGAGGGCTCTTTGTGATATCAGAACACACCTGGAACATCATGTGCACATCTGGGCCTGTCCTCACAGACTACAGTGCACAACCAGATGGCCACAGTGAGCCTTCTGGTTCCGTCATTAGGTCCAAGAGCCTGAGATCTTTGTAAGGAAACTTTGCCCTGTCAGAGCAGAGACACTGCGTTCAAGGGGTGGGGAGGAACAGGTAAGCGCAGTAACAGGCCTGTTGCTGTGCAGTCCTCACCTCCTTGGCTGGGACTGAATTCCCGTGGGTGTCACCTGACAGATCCCAGATGAGGAAGTAAGTTCCGCACATCCATTACATCCCTGCCTTCTTCCTTGTTGCTTGCAGAATTTCAGAGGCAAGAAAGTGTCCGGTCCCAGCACAAAGGCATCCAGTTATATGACACCCCTTATGAACCTGAGGGCCAAAGTGTCGACTCGGACTCAGAGAGCACAGTCAGCCCCCGACTACGGGAGAGCAAGCTGCCCCAGGACGACGACAGGCCCGCCGACGAGTACGACCAGCCATGGGAGTGGAACCGGGTCACCATCCCAGCTCTGGCAGGTAAGGAGCCGGTGGCCCCGCTCAGAGGGCGCTGCTGACCCACGCTCAGTAGTCGCCTTTGGTAAAGAGGGTACATGCACTGGTCCCTTTTGCTCAGGTAAACCCACAGGGCTTCGTTTGATGGTCCGGCTGGGCCCCTCAAAGATGATGAGGGTCCTAGAGAGAAGGGAGGCCAGGTCAGGCCAAAGGGAAATCCTAAGTCTGGCCTCCAGGCCCTCCGTTCCAGTCTTTCCTAGTCTTCACAGACGGCTCCGATGATTTCATTGTCTGACTGTGTTGGTAGTGCTCTAGTTCACTGAAGCCAAGATTTCAGAAGGAATTTTCTTATAAACTAAAAGAAAACCAACTGCAAAGCGGTTCCCACTGAGCCTGAGGGAGCCCAGTGCTTCTGTCTATTTGTGTGGATGTGATAGGCCTGGTATACCTAGGGCCACCACGTTTCCTGTTCCAGCTTTGGCATGAAGCCATTCATAGAGCATAGGCATGGGCACATCCTGACCTCAAGCTGGCTGTCACCCTGGCCGAGAATGTCAGGTGCCCCCCATCTGCCTCACTCTGAGACTGGTTCTCTAGAATCTGGGTATCTGTCACAGCACTAAAACTCCTCTCCCACAGCCTTTTGGAAAGCTGCCTGCTACATGTGTCACAGGTCTTAAGTTTATGTGCTCACCCTCTGATTCTAATCCCAGCCTATTAGATCCATGCCAGGGTTATGATCTAAAATTCAGAAAAGGCATTGTTTATGATCATGAAAGGTGGGAAACAACCTGAATGTCCAGCAAACAGGGATTGATTCAGTGGAATATTGTACAGGCGCTAGCAAGTGATATTGACAAAGAGTTTATAACAACACAGGAAAAATGCTTATGTTTAATGTTAAGAGGTGGAAAGCCAGATGCAAAAGATTTCTTATGCATCTAAGAGTTTAGGCATGTGAAAAAAGGGACATTGAATGACTCATTTAATTCTTGCCACACTGAAGGTCAAAAGCGGGGGGGAGGGTGGTTTTAATTTTTAATTTAAGATTCATTTTTGCCTGAAATCTCTCTTTTTCGTACCCAGCTGGACACTTCCTTTCTAGTCCCCAGCAGCGAGGCCTCGGCCCTACCCCTATCCTGAACAACAATTGATGTTCTAGCTGCTCAAACACATACTACTCACAGTTCCCTGGACGTAGTGTGCATCGTGCAAATTCCATTCCTTCTGCCTAAGTGCCCTTTACTGCCATGGAAAAAATCTTGTGCCTCCTTCCAGGCCCAGCTCACACGTTGCCATCTCTGTGAGCCCTTCCTGGGACATAGCTGTGCATCCCAAGGGCTTTCTTACTGTGTCTCTGGGCCTGTTGAGCTTCTTGCACTCAACCCTGGCATGACGTTTCTCTCATTGTACGGTTAGCCCTGTCAGTACCAGTCTCCACCTGTCAGACTTTGAGCACCTGGCCGAGAGCCAGACATAGGAGTAGTCGTGAGGTTGAAGGTCAGGTCGCTCCCATGCATTTCACAGCCCCCTGTCTTCCTTTGGCACAAGGGAATCCAAGGACTGTCTCTGTCCCCTGGCATCGCCAATAAGGGGCTGTGCTCTTCTCCTGGCCGTGAGGGGAGCTGGAATGGGGCCATTGCTACCCAAGAGCTTACTTTCTGCAAACACCAGTTTGATTAAAGGGCTCGTGTGGCAGCTCTCCCAGACACCCAGGGCCTGTGGCATGAGATAGCACTGAGACAGGTGGAGGGTCTCACCCTCTCCTAGACTGACCACCTGTAGGTCCCTCGAGGGTAGGGTTACCTTTGAAGCTCTAGTCTGGTCTGGCACCGTGCTGCTCACAGCACGGTCCCTAGACCAGCAGCATTGCATCCCCTAGGAGCTGGTGAGAAATACAGGGTCTTGGGCCCTACCCCAGACCTACGGAGTCAGAATCTGTTTTAACAAGACCCCCGGGTGATTTGCATGCATATTAAAGTATAAAAGCACTTAACCTATAGGACCTCAAATGTTCTAAAGGCTCTCAGACCAGAACTTGCCCACTTCTGCTCAAAGGTGGTTTTAGAACTCCTGTACATTCTATACAAAGGATCACAAGGTCTCAGCTAGAACCGTCTCCTTCTAAGTTTCTGGGCCACAGGTGTCCATTCTGGACGTGGCTTTATGTCACTGAGTTGCTATCACAAGGGTCATTATAGGTCTACTTCTTAGGCTGCTGAGAGAAGACAGACTCAGAATCAGGTCCCTGTCTGTGTCTCATCAAGTCACTTATCTGTGCATGGCCTGCTCCAGAGTATAAACCAGCTGTTCTCTTTCCAAGAAGCTTTTGGCTTCATTCTGATTTCTGGGGCCTAGAAGGAAGCTGTTTCACTCGGGCTGAAGGGACGCTATGAGCACCTGTCATTAGTCATGACCGGATGCCTCCCCATGTCTGAATAGCCCGTCGGTGCAGTGTTCGTAGGTAAGGAGCACCTGGTATCCTAGCCCAGAGTGAAGGTGGAGTGAGAGGTGGATGGGCCACTTTCCAGGTAATGAGGATGAGTTGAAGTGGCTTGAGTGGATAACTCAAGTGCTGCCATGGTCCCATTTGTAAACCCAGAAGTGTGGCTGCCCAGGATTGAAGGACGGTGTCCTGTGTGAGTCAGTAATGCACGTACATGAGTATGTCCGGACACACACACTTGAGCAAGTCATTGGTGTCACTGGGGAGCAAGGCAGTGCTTGGCTAGGCCCTGTCCTCCTTACAACACCCGTTTGAAATGGTTTCTCTAGACTCTCAGGAAGCTCTCTGATGCTCACTGAGACAATGGAGTACAGGAGCTGGGAAGTGTCTGCGTATGGGATAAAGTTGGCTGGGCAAAATCGTTACCATCTCTTTCCTCCCTTTGTGTTCTCTGGTTCTGCATGTTTAGCCTGGATGAGGGAATCTGGGCAGTGTTTTCAAATTTCCAAAGGGTATGGATTGTGAGGGAGCCCCAAAGGGCAGAGCTGGACCCACCAAGAAGGAGTCACCAGCATTTAGGGTCCAAGTGAGTGGTGAGAATCTCATTTACACCTGGAAGTATAATGAGCTTCCCCTCACTGGGAATTTGCAACCAGCAGCTCATTTGAGGCAGGAATGATGATAGAGGCTTTGCCCAGCAGTGGGGGGTTGGTCTGTCACTTTGAGGGTTGTGTCCATCCTTCAGCACCCCACCATGCTGATCAGAGACAGGGAGAAGGGAAGGCCTCTGAATTATCTCCATGATTCAATCTATGAAGCAAAAGCGCTTCCAGCCTTTCAAAGTGCTGTCCTATACTGCATTCATGGAAAGAGGCACTCTCAAAAGAGTTCTTTGGCATTCTCCATAGAAGTAACCCTTCCCAGCCAGCAGCTCCAGACCAGCCTTTATGGAAGTCAGGCCCTTCCCAGCTCAGCCACACTCTGGCAATCTGGGGGCCACTGCCTCTAGAAGGCTCAATTACCACCCCCCGGTTGTGGTGAAGACAGATGTTGCAGGGTATGAAGTGGTCTTAGCTTCTTGGGTATGAAAGTCTTCCCTCCTAGAATTCTCTGGCCAGGTGAGTGAGAAATACCACAAGCTCTCCAAAAAACCTTGGGCCTTCACTGCCTGCTTTTCCTCCAGGAAGCTGACTGTGGCCTCAGCCAGAACCTCCACCTGCCCTGCACTGGAGTTCCTTCCCACATGCGTGGCCTTTGTTGATCCCAGCCCGCAGAACAGATGCCTGGTCAGGTTTCTTGCACCGCCAACTGCAGGAAACAGACAGGCTGCAGCTCCACTGTGCACAGAGAGGTGGCATGGTTTCCATCAAGCTGTCAGCCCCCTTCCCCATGGCAGAGACACCTACCCTTAGAGCTGACCAAGTTCGGTTCCCAGCCTGCTTTGACTCACCCCTTGGGAGTCTTTACAGCTACAAATTGCAAGGTAGCAGGTGGGTCTAGAAATGGCCTGTGGCACTCCCTGCCCAGTGTGGGGCAGGAAAAGCAGCCTAGGGTGATTCCACACTGTCTTGGGGCAGCGTGGATTGGTACAGAGGGTCTAACCAGCCCTGGGCCTTGTGGCAGGGATTGTGACATGGACAAATGGAGCCTGCACAGGAAGTGTCCACACAGGGAAGGGCAGAAGAGCTGAGAGGATAACCTAGAGAAGCAGACATGGGCTCAGGGTGGCATGGATTAGGTGTCTTCACATCTCTGAGTGGCCACTGGGAGGATGAGGATTGAACCTGTCTTAGGAGCCTCCCATTTTCTCACCCAGGAAATGTGTCAGCTGCAAAGGGTCCTAGTAAGGCTTAAAGGACACGGCATCAGGAAAGTGCTGGCATCTACTGAAGCACTTTCTGCCTGCATTATCTCCTCTAATCCTCTCAGCCACGCTCTGGGGGATTAGTTTCCTCATTTTACTGAGAAAAAAGACTGAGGCCCAAAGAGAAGGGGCCCATAGCTAGTCAGCCACAGAGCTGGGATGTGAAGTCCAATTCCAGAGCCCAAGCCCTAACCCAGTGGCTGTCTGGGCTCCCTGCTGCCGTCAAAGATGCTGCATAAGATATGGTTGGAGCCCATGGGAAATGTCACCTGCCTTTTGTTGCCCTTGTACAGATTCCTCCCTATGTCTACATCTGGGAGGATACTCTCCTGGGGTGTGCGATCCCACCTGGAGTGGTTCCAGCTGAGGATTCTGCAGGAGCCCAAGTTCTGGAAGTTCATGCCTGTGTGGGGGGGCTAAGCAGAGCCATCCCACGGGCTAGTCATGCTCTGCCACCACTCAGCTCCCACACCATGGCATCCCACTCCCTCTTGTCCAGCTGGGGAAACTGAGGCCTGGAGAGGAGAAGAGAACCCCCAGAGACTTCATAGCAGAGCCAGTCAGGCCATACACAGAGGATAGATCAATATTTTCCTTTTAATCCAATGAGTACTGTTAACAGCTATATCCTTAATGGTTTGTAATTGCTTCTGAGAAGCAAATGATCAGAGTGCTTGGTCAAAGAGCCAGGTGGCAGGGAGTGTGTGAAGGGTG